ACCTCTGCCTTTGAGGCTAGTGACCAGGAAGCAGGGCTGGGTGTGATGAGTGATGTCACCCCACCCAGTCACATGACCAACCGGACATGCCTCCCCAGCCACTGTCTTAGATCATTAAGAATTTAAACATTTCTAAAGAATTAAAATAAGTAAACTGTTTTTTAAATGTTTAGTTGAAAAGAGAAATTGAAAAGCAAATTTTATTAAAAAAATTGGAAAAAGGATTTAAAAATTGAAAAAGATTTAAAAATTGAAAAAAAAATTAAAATGATATTTAAGAGTTGAAAAGAAGAAGACTTAAAATTGGAACAAGGAATTGAAAAATTGAAAAAAAGAAATTTTAAAAATTGAAAAGGATTTTTTTCTTAAGTAATATTGGAATATTCCTTAAGTAATATTGAATTCTAGCATGACATGGTCACTCTTGCCAAAGGTTCTGGCAACTTCAACTCCCTCTATCATTTCTTCTCTACTAGTAATAATTAGGTCCAGTATAGTTTTTCCTCTAGTTCCCTCCTCTAGTTTTTGGATGACAAAGTTGTCAGTTAAGTTGGTTAGGAATCTGTTTGATCTCAAATTTTATGAGTTTGCTTGCAAGCAAATTTTATGTGACAGACTCAGCTAGCTGATGGCAGAAAGATAGATCTCTGAATGAAACTGTGATTTTGTGAGCAACTCAATCTGTCTGCCTACTTTGCAGGGGTGGGATTCTACCGATTGTATCCGGTTCTATAGAACCCCTTGTTAACTTTCTAAGTAGTTCAGAAAACCGGTAGTTAGAAGCAATCTCCATTTGTTTTTTTCCACCCTTATTACATTCTTGGCAGACAGCCTAGACTTCCTGTCTCTGGAGCTTCTGAGGCTTTCTTAAAGGGGAAGGGTTATTTTAAGATTTTTACATGCTGTTGGGAGGAAATACTTCCCTGGACAATCAGCACTTTGAAGAAATAATTGAATAATGGAGCAAAGCTTTTAGTGACAGGGAACCAAGATGAGTGACATTCAACAAGGCTTCTTGGCTAGCTAGAAAGATTAACATTCAAACATGAGTTTACATACTCTTTCTGAGTTTTGGTCTAAAACTGATTTTTGGTGAAGGTTAATTCTGTGCTTGGTGAAGTTTAATCCTGTGTTTATTGATAGGGTAATTTTCCCGATTCAGCTTCAACAAGCAACAGTTACTGTTGTGATTTAATTATTTGTATTGTGTTTCCATTTTTTTTTTTGCCTCATGGTTTCTTTTTCTATTTGGGGAGGGGGGTTTTCCTTCACTACTTTAATACTATCTGGCACTGTCCTTTTGGGGTATACTTCTAAGAGGCAGGATGCAAGCTTTGCACTGAGTTTTTTTACTGCCTTTCTGGGGGGCATGTGACCTTTCCAAGATATCCATAGGATATCTTGTGAAGTAAGTGAGACCAGCTGGTATTTTTAAGTGTTCAAATGGATCTAAGGATTGCTTCTGCTGGGTGTGCTCTTTCTGGAGAGCTTCAATGACCTCTCTGCTAAAGGGTTTCACTTTATGAGGAAGAGATGGCTGCTTGATAGTTATCACTGCATTTTAAATATTTTCATTCCTCAAGGTGCTCTGGAACTCTGCCTGATTTGTAACTCTGACTTGCAGGTATTTTTAATCTAATGATTGGCATTTAGGCAGCTTTTTGCAAGCAAAGAAGCTTTTTGTATTTTTGTACAGGTAATCCTTGACTTACAACAATTCATTTAGTGACCATTCAAAGTTACAATGGCACTGAAAAAAGTAACTTATGACCATTTTTCACACTTAAGACCGCTGCAGCATCCCCACTGTCATGAGAGGTCAAGTGAGGAGAAGCGCCCCTTGACATGAGTTGGCCATGCCCAGCCCTCTGCAGCCCTCCCCATAGCTCATCGTAGCTGCCTGGGCCTCACCCTGCCCTCTCCAGGGCTCCTCATGCCTTGGAAACTGGCAAAAAACACTTGCTAAGCAACTTGCCATTAAGTGAGGACCTGGTCATTAAGTGAGGACCACTTGCATTTGGTTTGCCAGTCACCTGGCCACCTCTCCAGGACTCTCCAGGCCTTGGAAACTGGCAAAAAACACTTGCTAAGCAACTGGCCATTAAGCGAGGACCTGGTCATTAAGCGAGGATCACTTACATTTGGTTTGTCAGTCATATGGCCACCTGCCCAGGCCTCGACCTGCCCTCTCCAGTGCTCCCCAGGCCTTGGAAACTGGCAAAAAAACCATTGCTAAGCAACTGGTCATTAAGCGAGGACCACTTGCATTTGGTTTGCCACTCACATGGCCACCTGCCCATGCACACCCCAGTCACATGACCACCTAGTCATGCCCACCCCAGTCACATGACCACCTAGCCACTCCCACCTAGTCAGCAAGCCACTCCCACTCCAGCCACATGACCACCTAGCCACACCCACAAATTAAGCCACACCCACAGAACCGGTTGTTAAGAAATTTGAATCCCACCCCTGCTACTTTGCCTGATTTGGGGTAAAAGTTGTTCTTTTTTAAGAACAAATTCAATATTTATATAAATATTTATAATATTTACATACAAGGCATGCCCAGCCAGTCACATGACCACCAAGCCACACCCATAAATTAGGCTATGCCCACAGGTCTCCGGGATTTAAAATTATGAGTTTAGTGGTCCCTGAGGTCCAAAAGGTTGGCCGACCCCTGTCCCAGTTGATACCAGAGTAGTTCAAATCTCCCATTACATCTTGATGTTGCCTTCTTTATATAGTTTGTAATCCACGCATGTATTGAAGATGACAGGTGGTTACAATTTACAAGTTTTTTTACTCCCATGTTTTTGAGGTAATTCCCCATTAGGAGAATGAGTGCATACAGGGAGACGTATTGAGAGAAGTGTTGAATAATACACACACAGCACACAGATACACTGTACAGTTAATGTAGGTTTTTACTTTCAATAAACATTTAAGCACAGTCCAAACACAGTCCAAGTCAATTCACCGGTAAATCAGTCAGTGTTCAGTCCAGGGATAATTCCAATATCAAAGATCACTATCAAAAACAGTTCAGTAACAGACTTACATCAAATCCAAAAATAACAGTCAATAGGGAAAAATGGAGGAACGGCAAAACTCTCTCTAGCAGAAGGAAACAGAGACTCACTCACACTCTCTTCTGAGACTTTCTCACTCCTACCAACCCAGGTTTCTGGCTCCATCTTATGGCCATTTGAGAAACCACACCCAATTACAGTTTTTGCATTTTCTTAAAGATACAGTATTAAAATGTCTATCCTAGTTTATATATTTCCAACCCAAATAACTGTTAGGTGACTTACATTCCTAACACATGTCTTGCCAATAAGTATGGTATTTCTTGTCCCATCCATGTATTAACCAGGTTCGATTGTGCTTAATCCAGCACTTTCTAAAAAAATAGCTCTTGAGGACCTTTAGGCACCGTTGGTTTCACAGGTAGTTACCACTTCTTCCCTGAGCCTTCAAAGTTACTGTGGCACAGTAGAAGCAGACGTGCATCTGATCCCCAAAATTTGTGGTAATCCTAGCAGTTGTTCAGTGACCGCTTGTCAGCAGTGACTGTGATTTTGAAGATGCAGGAAAAGAAGTTGCACCAATTCGCGTTCTTCCCATAGTTGCACATTTATTATGGCCGCATCATCCCACACTGATGATCCCCATTTGTGACCTTCTCAACTAGCTTCTCACAAGCAAAATCATTGGGTAGGAAATTGCAAGTCCACAGTCATATGGAATTGCCTTTAACAACCTACAGTGATTTGCTTAACAAATACAGAGGAACAGATGCAACTTGGCACTGTCATGTGACATCATGCTTAATGATTGAGCTGCTTAATGATACAAATATCAGTTCCAATTGTGGTAGGTTAAATGAGGACTACTTGAGTGGGGATGTCACCAGAGTACTTGTGGACAGTGTTTTATGCTTTTATTTGCATCTGAGGACTTCCATGGACAAAAGTGATGCTTCAAATCTTGCAGAAGCTTTTGGCATCATTTCATCAGTTAAAGCCCCCACATGTCTAAGTTTAGCTCAGAAGGTTTGAATGTAAACATTCTGGGACATTTTATCAGACTTGGAAGACATAGATTTTCACATGAATACACGTGTAGGTGGGTATACCTGTGTAGGGATATGTCTGCAATTATATAATCTATCCCCAGCACTACAAGTTATAATTGATGATAGTCCTTTGTGTTGCTAAGAATATATGATTGACCCAATTAAACAACTGAATTTGATTGAATGCATATTTGAACATGGGTCTCAGTAGTCTTCCATGTGTCGAATGAAAAATAATATAAGTGAGAGATTATTCTACTATTGGAGTATGTTTGCTTTTTCATTGTAATATTTCTTTTTTCACATCATCTCTTAACATTTTTTAAACAATGTTGCACTTTTCTTTGAATCTTACAGACAAAGAAGATGGCAATAAGAGCTACTCAGGACAACTACAAATAACAAGCAACATTGAAAAGGGAAGTAAATCAAGCCAGAACTAAAAATATTTTCCATTTTATTCAGAAAACCACACAATTCTCGAGCTCTTCGTAGAGAAGTTGTTAGACAAAAGACGGAAAATTAAAAAAGATTTCAAGCCAAAATAAGCAGATTATGCACAACTCAAGGATACAGTACATGAAAAGTCAAGGGAGATTATTTTTCATTCAACAAAGGGAAATATATGGAAATCAGTTGGAGGAAAAGGTCAATAGTAAAAGCCATGTGGAGCAGACAGTAATATAGGCCTCTCCCTGTGAGGAAGAAAATGGCTTGAATGAAAGCACCACTAAACAAGGCATGGTCACAATTCCAGTCTGGTGATACATCAGTGGATTCACTGCAGGAGAAACCCTATGACTCTCGAGATTGTGGGAAAGGTTTTATTACAAATTCCCACCTCTTGAGACACAAGGGCACACACACAGCAGAGAAACCCTTTGAATGTGCTATCCATGTGGAAAGTTTCAATCAGAATTCCAACATGATGATACGCCAGAGGCCTCACACAGGAGAGAAACTCTTTGAATGTCCTGACTGTGGGAAACGTTTTAGACAGAATTCCCACCTGGTGATACACCAGAGGATTCATACAGGAGAGAAACCCTTTGAATGTCCTATTTGTGGGAAAAGTTTCAGTAATAATTCCAACCTTGTGAGTCACCAGAGAACTCACACAGGGGAGAAACCCTTTGAATGTCCTGACTGTGGGAAAAGTTTTGTTAAGAATTCCCATCTGCTGACACACCGGAGGACTCATACAGGAGAGAAACCCTTTGAATGTCCTATTTGTGGGAAAAGTTTTAGTGAGAATTCCAGCCTGGTGAGACACCAGTGGACTCATACAGGAGAGAAACCGTTTGAATGTCCTATTTGTGGGAAAAATTTTAGTGAGAATTCCAGCCTGATGAGTCACCAGAGAACTCACACAGGGGAGAAACCCTTTCAATGTCCTGACTGTGGGAAAAGTTTTAGTCGCAATTCCACACTGATTCTACACCAGAGGACTCATACAGGAGAGAAACCGTTTGAGTGCCCCAACTGTGGGAAACATTACAGGCAGAATTCCCATCTGATGATACACCAGAGGACTCACACAAGAGAGAAACCCTTTGAATGTCGTATCTGTGGGAAAACTTTTGGTTATAATTCTAGCCTGGTTCGACACCAGAGTATTCACACAGGAGAGAAACCCTTTGAATGTTCTGACTGTGGGAAACGTTACAGTCAGAATTCCAACCTGGTGAAACACCAGACGACTCACAGAGGAGAGAAACACGTTGAATATCCTGACTGTGGGAAACATTACAGTCAGAATTACCCCCTGGTGATACACCATACGACTCACACAGGAGAGAAACCCTTTGAATGCCCTATCTGTGGGAAAAGTTTTAGTTATAATTGTAGCCTGGTTCGACACCAGAGTATTCATACAGGAGAGAAACCCTTTGAATGTCCTGACTGTGGGAAATGTTACAGTCAGAATTCCCACCTGGTGCTGCACCAGAGGACTCACACAGGAGAGAAACCCTTTGAATGTACTGATTGTGGAAAACGTTACAGTCAGAATTCCCATCTGGTGATACACCAGAGGACTCACACAGGAGAAAAACCCTTTGAATGTCCTGACTGTGGGAAACGTTACAGTCAGAATTGCCACCTGGTGGTACACCAGAGGACTCACACAGGAGAGAAACCCTTTGAATGTCTTTTCTGTGGGAAAAGTTTTAGTGATAATTCCCGTCTAGTGAAACACCAAAAGACTCACACAGGAGAGAAACCTTTTGAATGTCCTATCTGTGGGAAAAGTTTTAGTTATAATTCTAGCCTGGTTCGACACCAGAGTATTCATACAGGAGAGAAACCCTTTGAATGTCCTGACTGTGGGAAACGTTACAGTCAGAATTCCCACCTGGTGCTACACCAAAGGACTCACACCGTGGAGAAATCTTTCAACTGTCCAGTTTGTAGACTTTGTTTCAAGCATAAATCATCCTTTATTGCACACAAGGTAATCCATATGAGGAAAAAGTAGATGAGTTTAGAGAATGCTGGAATTTCATTTGTGATCTCCCTTTGAAACTGTAGATGAGAAATTGATAGCTTGAATACTGTTTGAAAATTTGTTCACCCTAATCTAGTAAATCTTCAAAAGTAATTTAATATATAATGACATTTTGAATGTGGAAGGGGAACTAAAAACTAAACAAGAACTACAGAAACAGGGTATTGATTCATCATGGTGGCCACATATGCAAATGCAATCAAGATATGAGAAAGATGTTAAGATATATGACTTTTATAAAGAGAAAACAACTTTTGATCAAATACTGTTTGCGGTGGATGAAAAGTTAATCAAATTATATAATTTTTATTAAGCTTAAAATTGAAGATGAACAGGTGAAAGAGACAATGAGTTTGGCCAAAAAAATTTGAATATACCATAGAAAAACACAATCGGCAAAGACTCTGGGGGGAAAAACTATAAATTGTCGATGGCAACTATGTAGAAGGAAAATCTGTATAAAATGTTCTATAGGTGGCACCACCAGCAAGGCTAGCAAAAATGTTTAAAAACATGTCCACCAAATGTTAGAAATATAATCAAATACCAGGCACAAATAATCACGTGGTGGACATGTCCAAAGGCAAAAATTTTTTGAATGAAAATGCATATGTGGTTAGAAAAAATGTTAAGGCAGCATATAGATTATAAGCCAGAACTATTTTTGTTAGGCATAATACCAGAAAACAATAAAACAATAAAAGGAATGTGTATTTAATATTACATGTTTTGATAGTAGCAAGAATTGTATTTGCACAATACTGGAAAAACAAGGAAACGCAGAAGAAGCTATAATGAAAAAAATATTAGACTGTGTAGAAATGGACAGACTAGCATTGAAGATAAAAGAAAAAGAAGACACAGAATATTTTCAAAGTTGGGACTTGTTTTATCAATACAGGTAGAAATTAGGTACTTTAAAATATTACTGTATAACCAAACTGACTCAGACATTATGCAGTTCACTAAGCACTTATTATATGTAAAAAGAAAATATATAAATAAAAAAAGAAACTGGGGGAGAAATTGATTGTTTCAATTTTGGCCTGATTCATTTTACTCAAACATTTCTTAGGATTAAACTAGTTGGAGAGAAAAGAGAAATGGAAAATGGCTAACTACTAGTTTTTCATTATCAGCAGAAGCTTCTGGATATTTCCTTTTCCAGAAGTTGTGGAATTCCTCAAAAAGGAATTTTGGGTGGAGCTTTTTTGTATGTTGATTATGTAATTCCCACATATAGAGTTTCAGTCTTCTACATTGGTTTCGCCCAGATTTTGAGCCCCCGAATTCCTCGGCCAGCATAAAAGTAATCCTCAAGATACAACTATTATGGGCCTTGCAATTACGGTTGCATATTGCAAAGACTGTTAAGTGAGACGGCTTTCCTTAACTACCCGAATCCCTTGCTGTCCCCGAGGCAGCCATTAATTGAATGTGTGAGTTGCTTAGCAGAGTACTGGTTACCACAGGAGTGGGGAAAACTCTTAGAGGCCTAGAGCAGGGCCAGGCTTGCCTGCCACAGGCATTCCTGGGGCTCCCCCACCCTCTAAGACTCCCTATGTTCTGTTTCCCATCCCTGCCCCTTCCCTCAGCTCCCCAGAGCCCCCCACCCAGGATTTTCCCCACTCCTGCTGGGTCCCTGCAGTCCTCAGACCTGACTGCCACCCCACCTGGCCTCATACCCTCCTCCTCCTTGCCTTTGGAAGATCTCTGGTCCTCATGTTTCAGAGGGAGGGAAGGACACGCATCCTTGGGCCTCATGACTGTGTCCTGGAAGCAGCCACCATTTTCAATGGGCCCTGGATTCGTTCCTGGGTCATGCGGTGGACTTGGGGAAGCAGCTGCCATTTTTCTGCACTGCCCACACTGATAATGCAGAAGAGGAAGAAACCTCTCTGTTTTGGTACCTTAACATGAGGGGGGGAAATGTACCATTTCTGATCGACAAGCTCAGTGTCTTAGCAACTGAGCCACCACATCCCCCTAATCATCTCTACTGAGAGCCAAACCCCAGAAAAGTGCAGGAATCTATTCATCGGCTTCCAATCTGCAAACTAACATGCTCCAAATATTCTGCTCAGGAATACTCAGTTCTGAATTCTTACTCCGGACATTGGGAAGAGTGCTCTAGCGAGATTCACTCCCCAATAATACAGATAGGGAATTAATGTTGCATGCTCCATTATTCTGTTAATGGAATCAAGCTAACAAGCTGGCAATAATTTAGGGACTCTGCACACAAGTGCTTGACGAGCTTTTAAGGCCCAGAACCTAGTGAATTTTGAAAAGCTAAGTAGGGTCACGCTTCCATCTTCAAGTTTCTGTCTCCTGCAAAACTAAGCATTCATGAGTTGTCCTGCACACAGACACCCCACAACAAATAGCTGGCTAGAACAGTCTTGACTGATCCTTAAAGGAGATGCGCTTTGACTGCTGTATGGTAGTTCCCCTCCACTTCTTTCCCTTGGTGTAGTTCTTGCTTCTTGCATGGGAAGCTTCTTCCTCTTTTTCTGTGAAGATGAGTGAATCCTTGGGAGGCCCAAATGAACGAGTTAGGAATAATCATCATGGAAAAAGTCTCTGTGATTACTGGAGTGAAAAAAATAACATGCATAATCAATAAAAAATCATGCATCTGTCTTAGGTAGAGATGGAACAACATGGTTTTCAGCTTTATGTCATTAAATAGAGCACTATAGATGAGCAATGCCCATGCTAAACAACTGTAGAGCATTGGTAACTGAGGCATAAGGAGTTTAAACATTTGAACAGTAAATTCCTAGAGAGGATTTGGAGGAGCTTCCTCTTCCTGCTCTCCACTGAGACGGGGGAGGGAGGGAGGCCCTCCTGGTCTTCCCAAGGTGGAAGCAGCAGCCAAAAGGTGAGCTGAGAGGCCGGAATCAAGTAAGGCTGTTTGGATTTCCCCAGGGTTTAAAAGCAGAGAAGCAACAAGGCTGAAACATGTCAGCTGCGACATATTCCTTCCCTCCCCAGATTGTATTCCACTGGTGGCACATGCCTTAAAATTGGTGCCTGCATTTTCCTCTGTGTTGGGAGTTTTAAAAAGTCTCCCACATCTTAAGGTTGACTCCTTGTAATTGTATAGGCATGTTCTTTACTTGGCAACAATTTGGAACTGATCTGCCACTGCTTGCCTTCAGGAATTTTCTTTTTAATTCCATATTTAGCAAACAAACACAGGATTCCCTGATGGTATGCCATCCATTAAGGACTACTCGTTGGGTACAATTTGACAGCCAGTTACAAATCCACCTGGTGGTGATGCTATCTATCCTACTTTTTTTCTAGTTTACCAAGAAATAGGTTGCGGTCTACTTTGTCGAGTGCCTTGCTGAAGTCTAAGAATATTATGTCCACAGTATTTCACTGGTCTAATGTGGCACAACTCTGCTTAACCCACAACTTTTTTTAAAAAAATCATTATTTAAGAAAATAATTTCTTATTTGGAGTAGTGGACTTCCACGGGCAAATATGGTCCTTTAACTCTTACAGAGGCTCTTGGGATCATTTCACCAGTTAATCCACCCACTCACCTAATCCTGTTGCACTACATTTACATCAAAAAGTGTGAGTGTATCCACATATCTCTTCTATATATATAAAAGCGAAAAACCACTCATGCATCATCACAACATCTCCAAAACTGTAAAGCCTACAAACTTGAAAATTGGCACGTATGTTCCTCTTTGCTTCTACCTACTTGCTATGAAAGGATTTTTCGAAATGACCATCGGATCATCAGTATTTCTTATACAGAAATTAACATGCTTTGGTGCTAAGGAGCCCTCCCCACCTGAAAAGAACTCTGTTCCAACTGCCAGTTGCCTCACATTCCGTTACCTCAGTTCCACCTATGGAACTGCTTCCGATTAGAAAATAGGATAAAATAGAAAACAGAACTGCATTAAATAGAAAATAGAATAGGGAATATAACAGAACATAAAAGGGAACAGAATAAAAAAAGAGAATAGAACAGAATACAATAGAAGCATAGAGCTGGAAGGGACCTCAGAGATCATCCAGTCCAATCCCTGCTCATATTACCAACCACAATCTTTTTAATCTGCTGAATTTAGGAGCATGCTAGGATCCTCCTAACCTAGGATTAATTTCTAGCCGATATCCTCAGAAAGTTGCCAGAACCTCTCTCCAAGAAATCTCAGCACAGTTAACCAAGTTTCCACAATTTATTCTCTGCTCACAATTAACACTAAGATGGTTTCTCCCAGAATTCCCCATCCAGCATGCTTTAAGAGGGGTGGACTTCAACTCCCAGAATCCCCCAGCTAGCCTGCTTTAAGAAGGGAGGACTAACTCCCAGAATTCCCCAGCCAGCATGCCTTAAGTGGACTTTAATCCCCAGAATCCCTCAGCCAGCATGCTTTAAGAAGCGAGGACTAACTCCCAGAATTCCCCAGCCAGCATGCCTTAAGAGGGGTGGACTTCAACTCCCAAAATCCCCAGCCAGCATGCTTTAAGAGGGATGGACTAACTCCCAGAATCCCCCAGCCAGCAAGAAATCCATTCCTCTTAAAGTATGCCGGCTCTGGAATTCTGGGACTGGAAGTCCTCCCCTCTTAAAGCATCGTGGCTGGGGGATTCTGAGACTAGAAGTCCTCCCCTCTTAGCATCCTGGCTAGGGGATTCTGGGAGTTGAAATCCTCCCCTCTTAAAGTACCCTGGCTGGGGGATTCTAGGAGTGGAAGTCTTACCCTCTTAAAGCATCCCAGCTGAGGGATTCTGGGAGTTGAAATCCTCACCTCTTAAAGCACCCTGGCTGGGGGATTCTGGGAGTTGGAAATCCTACCCGCTTAAAGCTTCCTGGCTGGGGGATTCTGGGAATAGAAGTCCTCCCCTCTTAAAGCTTCCTGGCTGGGGGATTCTGGGAGTAGAAGTCCTCCCCTCTTAAAGCATCCTGGCTGGGGGATTCTGGGAGTTGAACTAAATAACTCTGTTCCAACTGCCAGTTGCCTCACATTCTGTTACCTCAGTTCAAACTGGAATATATTCCACTCCTTCACTCAGGAGTAGTCTGGGGCTCCTTACAGTACTAAATGTTGCTACCTCACTAAAATGCCTATGCCTTCCACCTATGGAACCACTTCCGGATTTAAGGCAGCAGGAGAGATATTAACTCAAAAAAGGCCAGAAGTGTTGTTTTTGGAGGGTTATTAATTCTCTCAACAACAATGTTCTCAGTAAAATATGCCTGATCACATAGTTTCATAGTGAAGCTTGGGAATTCAGCTAGCGTGTATATGTATGATCTGTCCCCAGCACTTCCAGACATATTTATCTCTTTGCAGTTCTATGAATTCATGATTGACCCAAGTCAGTAAGTAAATTTCCCAATTTCACGGGTATTTGAACATGGATCTCACTAGACATGTGTACTGAAAAAGAATCATAATTAATCTGGGAGGTTAAATAAGCATTATGGCATCTCTGTCATGTTTTATTGTAATATACATGCTTTTTGCTGTTTTTTTAATCTGTAGCCATTTTATAAACCATAATTAAAGCAACCATTTTATGTGAATCTTACATTTGCCAATGCCAAAAAGGGCATTGTGGAGAACTGAGAATCACAAGCAGTATTGAAATGCAAAACAAACCAAGGCAACAATCCAAATCTTATTAGTTCCTCTGGAGAACCCCTATTTCGTCCAGCTCAAAACTCTTTTCCTGTTTTTTCCCCCCTTACCTGTTACCTGCAGGGGAAGAAGAGTTTTGGAGTTCTCCAGAACTAATAAGATTTGGATTGTTGCCTTGGTTTGCTTTGTATTTCAATGCTGCTTGTGATTCTCAGTTGTCCACCGTGCTCTCTTTGGCATCCTAAACTTTTATGACTGGTTTCCTATGGCTCCCAAGGATTTAGGATGTGGGAACACCA